TGCCCGTGTGGCTGGCAGCCTGCCGTGCAGGGAACGCCTGCCCACAGCTCTGCAGCACGGGGCTGAGCTGGGGAGGCTGCCTTGCACACCAGATGAAGGAAATTTAAAAATAACAAAGTGAAAAAAAAAAAAAAAAAAAACCGAATCACACCTATCCCAGTCCTGGGAACAGACCTGGGGTGTGGATCCTGGAGCCATTGCCTGCTGCAGCAGCTACAACAGCCTTTGCACAAACATATACTGTGTGTGCAAAGGGGCAAAGGCACACAAACACATGCGCACGCCAGGTCGTGCAGTCTTCCCAGGTGCCAGTAAATACACCAACAGACTCCACCAGCCAATGGCAAAGGACATGTGAATTTGGATAAAATATGAAACAATCCCTGCTGCAGATGAAAACCTCTCAGCCCAGGCAGATACAGAAAAATAGAGCTCAGCACATAGAAGCTATTCACTAATTATTGACTGGCTTCTCAGAATTTTCCTTTTTTTTCATGATTAATCATTTACCCAGCCATCCAAACTTTAAGTTCCTTTGTGTAGGTTCTGCTTGCATGGAAATTAAGTAGAAGAAAACTTAAAGACAACTAGCTGTCACTGACTATTAAAAGTAATTATGACAAAATTGCTCAGCATTTTTACAACATTCAAGACAAGTCCTGCCACTGAATCAAACTGCGAAGGGGGCATAATCTGCAATAGGAACCTTCCTGGACAATACAGAGCAGCTGGCACAAGGGGTCTGGTTAAAAGCAATGCTTCAAAAAGTGTGTGCTGGAAATGGAGCCTGTTCTTCATGGTATGAAGCTCCTAAGTATCACCGTGCTGACAGTTTTTGCCAGAGATCTGAAAAGGGGTAGGAAAATACATATAGAAACTCGGTCTTCTGAATATAAGGTCTGCAAAATTCTGTACCTCCCTCCCTCCCTGGGTTTATTTTGTTGGCTATTGAATAATTTTTTTTTGTATGAGACTTTGGGGTGTGAAGTGGGGTTTATTTTGACCTTCATCTTGGTGAAAAATAATGTGTTCCAGAGGGAATGGCATCAGATAAAAATAAATGATAATAATATCCCAGATCCTGGGTTCAGAAAAGGCCAGAGCAGATCCTGGGCTTCTCAGGCGGTCACATCTACCTGTCCAAAGTGAGAAAGCAAAGGGCATGTACAGTGCTACTAAGTGGCCAGAGTATTTTGCATATATTGTGTGTTCAGTTGAATAGGGTCATGCAGAATTCACACTTCCCTGAACCTGAGATGGAGAGCAAATCAATGCTCTAAAACAAGAAAATGCCAACCTGCTCTTCCCTCAGTGCTGCAGGGCTCACTCCCATGGCTTTGCAGCCTGTCTGCACTACAGCTGTGGCTGCCTTTCCAGGGTGCTTCCCTGCCTGTGGGCAGGGCTGGATGGCAGAAAGCCACCCCATGCCAGGCTGACATGAACACCAGCACTGTGACAGTTCAGCTGCCGCTTCAGCTAATGCAGAGATGCCAAACAATTGTCATTGTTTCACCTTTACAGTGAGTAATGGAAAGTACCTCGAGGTCTTTTCTGTTCCTTTCACTCCCTTCTCTGCAAAAATAACTAGCAGAGCACGTGCCTGGCTGCTTCTTCACCATCGACAAAAGTTTCTGTGCACTCGCATCCCCTTCCATGGTGCACTAACTAATCTACACTGCTGTTTCCCCAGGGAATAAATCCCTGCTCTGCAGCCAAGTCACCCTGCCAAAATGCCTCCTTGTCTTGACTGAGGAGATTTGTCACAGCACTTGTCCTGACAGGTGGATCTCTGCTGTCTAAGGACATCCAGCCACCCGTGTTGGCTACCGTGGAGAAGGGCTGGAGGGCAGTGCAGTGGTGATTACCTGCAAGGTGCATATCAGCAGAAAGAGGAGCAGGTTAGGGCTTGACTCTGCACAGCAGCAGAGGGGTGTGGTGTGTAGATACACAAATAAATCGCAGTGACTGCTCAGGGATCTCAGCACATCCAGCCCTTCACTGCCGAGCCAGACGCTTTCAGCAGATCCGTGATTTCTACCTGCTGCAGATGGGGGGCTGGGAATGGAGGCCCAGAGCTCCAGCTGGGCTGGGCATACGGCCATTCCTCCTGAGGACAGGGCTGTGCTCTCATCTCTCCTCCAGCCTGGCAGGGAGGAGGCCTTCTGTTCAAGGCAGAAGGCTACACCCAGTTTTTCCCCTCTGCAGCTCACTGCTTCCAATGACACCCTTGCTGGAGGCCAACCTCATGTTCCCTGCTGAGCACCATGAATCTGCAGGATTGAGGCCAATAATACTGTGGTTACTTGCAATAATGACACTGGGTAAGAACGGAGGAAAAAACATCTAAAATGGATTAACAAAGTATGTATGTCTGGTCTGTATACAGCCTATGTCTGCTGTCTTGCATCAGTTAGTTGTGAGAACAATATGTTCCCCTCATAATTCTGTCATTGTATCTCAATCCCAACCCATCATTTCTTCTCCCTCCTTCCCCCCCATTACCATACTCCCAGAGCAGGGAGGGAAAGCTCCCACATCTGTGGTTATTGTATGGTACAGAAGAAAGTAGCTCTTCAAACTTACAGTGTTTTACAAATACCAGAAATGTGAAGTATGTTTTAAAGCACTAATCAAGCTTTGGCATCTCTCTGCTGAGCAGGTCACTCTTATTATTGCTTTTTGAAAAAGAAGAGGATATAGGGCAGGCAAGGTTGAACTTTTTTTTGCACACAAGAAATTAAGTGAGGTAACCAGGGAAAGCATATGGATTTTATGGTTCCCATTTCTGTGCTCTAGCCACACAGTCTACATTTCCCTTTTTCCTGCCCTCTCGGTTTGCCATAACTCAGTGCTGGAGGGCAAAATATCCCAAATGACACAAACTTATCCATAAAACATTAATGTGGGAATCTGAAGCCATAGTTCATTTGTTTAGTGGAAGCAACTCTTTTACCTCATGTCCATCATGCTTTGCTTCTGACAGAACTTATTTTCAGCAATGAAAGTAAGCTATGTCATATCAGTGTGGTATACAAGCCACGTGAGGATAATGACTTTGGGGAAAGACAGGCCTCAGAGAGATGTACTCATCACAACTTAAAGAACTGCAGTGAATTTCTATTCACATCAGTAAATCCAGGACTATGTTTGCAGGCTCTAAACCAAATCCTTCATCCATGCAGGCTCTGATATGTCACTGGATTCCTCTTTTCCTTCCCTTGCTTTCCAGCTATTTGGAGGAATTTTAAAAGGCTGCCTCTCAAAGCTACACCAAATGTCCTAAAGATAGGACCGTGTAGCTCAGCGTACAGAAATGTCATGTTCCTTCTATCATCATCTCTGTACCTACACTGTTTCCAAAACATTCACTCGCCCAACACAATGTAATGTGGTTGCAAAGAGCTTTACAGACTCTGGAGTAACACCAACTCCCCTCCTGCATAATATGAAGCTGATGAACAGTGCATCTGTACAGATTTACTCCTGCCTTTTTTGTGCCTTCATATGTTTACTCGTGCACCCACAGCTCTTTCTAAAAGAAACTTGATTCTCACTTTCACGGCTGCGTTAACATGACACCAAAACCTGCTCCTGCGGCAGTTTGCAGGGGGATGAGGATGTCATGCTGACACATCCAGGGTTTGATCTGACAGCAAACAAGGATTGCAAAAAACCAAAACCTTTGGTTTGAATGGGTTTGGCTGGGAGGAGAAAGCTCTCCTGGCTTTCAAGCACATGAACCCTCACGTATTCAATGGAGACTGGGGGGTAGGGGGGCCATAACCTGCTGGGGGTAGGAAGATGGCAGAGGCTTTTATTGCTTATACCATCAGAAGACTTTGCCTCACACCTCCTTCATTTCCCTGAATGAAGTCTCTGAAATAAGTCAGGTCTAACCTTTCTAAAAGTAAGCAGCACTGGTTTATGCTGTCTCAGACCAGACATTTTGAAACAGAAGGCTGACTGCTGCCCTCCACTACCTTTTACTAATCCACCTGCCAGTAGTCTCAGGCACAGCAGACAGAGGAGCTTGTCTCCTTTTGTCACCATATGCATGCTTTTAGGGCACACAATGACAATCAGGACAAAAATACCACTGGGATTTCATTGTATTGTGCCGATGCAATGTAATTTGGCAGCACACAGAGAATGCAGCAGAAAAACAGCAGGGAAGATGGTGATGGGAAACCACACACTCAGGCTGCAGGAGTCAGCCTATGTACAGTCCTGGGAGCCAAATGCAAGTGGGACTTACACACATGTACATGGCATGCACATGCACACAGACAGGCACACAGAGCTGTGGGAATTAATCAGGAGTTGCAGGAAGCATTTGAGCACAGCCACAAATGCAGAAATCAGTAGCTTATATCCTAGATCCTTAGAAAGAAGGGACTCGAGGACAGGAGTTGTAACTCTACATAACCAATCCTTTGCTACCCTGACCTGGGGGGCTCCTGCCAGAATCATGGTGCTGGAAGACCTCATGCAGATACGAAAAAGGCTAAGAAGAGCTCAAACCCAGATTTCCTGTGAGAAAATGTGGCTGGAATTCTTGATTACTACATGCATTGCAATTATTTCCTGTCTCTGAGGAAAAGGAAGCATCTCTGGGGAGGTAAAAGGTAGGGGAAGGAGTATGGGAATTGCTGCAGGGGGATCTGTAGGTAAGGCATCCAAAGGGAGTACCACATGGTGAGACTAGGGAGGTGAAAACCTTAATACATTAATTTTTCACCAGTAATGAACAGATTGATGGGTCCTGCTTCTCATATCACATACTGTCTTTTCCATGAGAAAGAGGTTATACAATTTGTATTGCCTGCACTGAGTTCGGGAGACAGCTGTGCAAGGCAAACATCTTCCCATACTTCTTTTACCGTGGGTCACCATGTTTTCCCCAAAAATCATGCTGAGGCTGTGCACACAGATGCCATGCCCCCAGTGAAGAAGACAAAAGTGCTCATTCCCTTCTTAAAGGAGAAAAAAAAAAAAGGAAACAATATTTTCACTTTCACACTAGCAGCAAGCAGCAGGCGAGAATCAAGAGGTGCTAAGAGATGCAAGCATGTCCTTTCCAACAGATACCTTCTTCTTCGCCAGCAGTAAGTCCTGGTAAGCATTGGAACGCAGAAAGCGCGCGTAGCTGTCACTCTTCATCAGCTTGTAAATGTGCTCCTGTGGGATGAGGGGAAATGAGAGACAGAGAATTGTTATCAAACCTCATTTAGATATCACAGAAACTTAAAACATGGAGAATTGGAAGAAAGGGAGACTGATCAGAGTTCTAATTAAGTCTGCTATTATTGATTATCTGTGTTGTGTGGTGTACACGAGATCCATCCTAGGGCAGGACCTGCTGTGCCTGGGGCTGTATGAACACAAAACAAGGGGAGGGCCCTCACCCCAAAGGCTGGCACCCATTATTCACTCATCAGGATTATTCTGCAAAGACTGCAACTCTCTGAAGTCCCCAAATTATAACAAAGTGCCTACTCTGGGAAGAAGAAATAAACACCAGAAATTATCTCATAGATTAGGTTTCATTTTACCAGTTACAGATACTTGAACAATCACCCAGCACTCCCTTCCTGTTCATGGAAGGGAACTGATACTTGCATACATTTCAGCTCCACTTTAGACATGCACTCAAGTAAACCAATGTGTTAACGTCCTGAAAAAGCCTGTATCTGTGGTGACTATGCAGGGAATATATGACTAGCTCCAATGTGGATGGCTACATCATGTGTATAAAGTTGGATAAATCTCTCTTTTAGGATCTTCTCTTAAGTCAAACTGCTGTTACTAGTTTCTCTGTGAGCACTTAACTATGTGTATCCTCAAATTTACAAAGTGGTGTTTCATTGCAGCAGAACTTAATACATACTCTTTTCTAATTTCCTTGCTAAGCTTTACTTTCCTGCTGAGAATCCCTTAACACAGTCAGCTTTTCTCCTAGTTATCCCTGGATTTACAGAAGATATTATCCCAAACATCAAGAAAATCAAATCAAAATACTTTGACCAAATAATAACAGAGAACACACTAAAAGAGCTCAAGAGAAAAACAGGCACCTTGGACCTTTTTCTTAGACTTTGCCCAAGGAAGCACTTTTATAGAGTTAATGAGCAGTTTTATCTATAGCGAATTATACAACGTGAAATATTCTCCCCTGCCCTAAAGCCATTGTACATGAAACTTTAGAAGAATCAAACCAGACAGAAGTTGCTTAGCTTATTTCAGTGTGTTAACAAACCAAGCAGAATTCCCTTATCCTCATCATCATGGGTAATTAGCAATGACCTGTCTATACACAGAAGAACTGCTTAATTCAGCTTTCTTACACTATTTGGTATAGTCCTATGAGGGCCACTGGTTTTCCTTCGACACAACATAAATGTATTATTTGAGCTACATCCTGGTGTGGAACAATTTTTACTGTTAATTTCCATACTTGCTTTTAATCTTGACAGATCCTACTTTGTGCAGCATTATCTAGCCAAAGGACAGCACAAGATTTTGCAACAGAATTGTTCATCACAAAATCACTAGGTTGGAAGAGAACTCCAAGGTCATAGAGTCCAACCCATGCCCTAACACCTCAACTAGACCATGTCACTGAGTGCCACATCCAGTCTTTTTTTAAACACATCCAGGGATGGTGACTTTACCACCTCCCCGGGCAGACAATTCCAGTACTTGATCACTCTTTCCATAAAAAACTTTTCCCTAATATCCAACCTATGTTTCCCTTGCTGCAGCTTAAGACTGTGTCCTCTTGTTCTGTCAACTGCTGCTGACATAAAAAGCTATCTATATGCTTTATATTTTTATGTTTCACATAAAGCTATTTAGCAACTGTCACCCTTCTTGCTTCAGAAAAAACACATGGTAGGCACAGTTTCATACTTCTCATGTACAGCATTGCCATGAGATTTGACATCCAGCTGTGGGACATTTGTTCTATTTATGCAGGATAGAATGGGCCAAGTACACCCTAAGACAAGGAGAAGAAAAATAATGCACATCATGGATATGATCATTAAAAGGTTTCTATTCTCTCGTGTGAATAAGGATTTTCACCATCAGTTCTCTCCTAAATATATCAAGTGTCATAAATTCAGGACTCTTGATTTAAACCCAACCACACCTCAGCCAGTTTGCCTGTACTGCTACCACTTAAGGTTTCCAAGGAGATGCCATGTCCTCCTAATGAGTTCTTTGTAACTACTTGGGAAACAAACCCACCTAACTGGTGCTTTTCCAGGACCATGAGGAGACTGATGAGTAAGTGGGCACCTTGTAGCCCATCAACAGTAAAGGGCCTGAGGGGTCTCCAGAGCCTTCATCCTCTTAGTGGTCCTGTTTGCAGCCACCAGTACATGCAGGTGCTGAGGTGAGCAGGAAGGTGCTGTGGCTGAGGCAACATGGTCGGTGAGAGGGATATTTATATTAACATTTTGAAAAACTTATATTAACATTTTTCCCTGTCTTTGGGCTTCAAGTGGTTTCTTTACCAGTGGTCAGACAACTGAGTCTGGTCTGAAACATGATACCATTTTTGGAAAATAACTTCCAGGTTTCACTGCCACACAGAGGTAAAGGAGAACACATGAGGCTGGCCATACGATCCACCTGCATGCCAGCAACAACTATCATTCTTGCTTATGTCAAGACAACTTCATGTATTTGACCTTAAAACAGTATAAAGTCAGTATCTGGCAGTCAGAAGGAAAATTGCTTCAATCCTGAGATGAAATAAACCACACAAAGCTGCCTTCTTAACTGAAGCCCTTCCCTGAAATAGGGCTATTGCACAGCAACAGCCCTGCTGCCACTGCAGTTAGCTAATTGGTATGAAGCATTTTCTCTGCTTTTCACATCTTGGAATCACTAAGCAGCAACTCTGCTACCTTTCAGCTGTTCACCACAGATATAATCAAACGGGGGATAAGTATTCCTAGGCTTTGAATGCTAATGAAGAAAGAAGGTTGGGCATAGGAAAAGAAGGGACATGCATAGCTTCAGAAGCAAAATTTACTTTTTAAATGTCAGAATTTAAAGAGCTTGCTTTCAACAATCTCTAGACTGAAGGCATGAATGATGCACTAGTAATTTATTTTACAATGCTGCATTTCTGAAGTACCTACTGGAAATCTGAGCCAGTTGCTTAGATCAGCAAAGACTGCCTTCCAATTTGCAACAGTACAGGACAACTTGCATTGCTATGGTGAAAATCCCTACTGAGACTGCACGATGAAGATTTCTGCTAAAATTGTAGCTGTGGTGTATGTCCAGCCCACTTACACACCAAATCTAGCTGCAGGATGGGAAAAGCCAGTGGCTGGAACATTTGTTTTGATCTGCAGCCTACTCTGTTCTTTGCCATCAAGCCATTTTCTCTTATGTTTTCTGGAGTCTGCAACTTCCTAGGGAGAACCTACAGCTAGTGTTTAGCATGTCCTCATTTCATAAATACATTGAAGGCTACTGGAGGTCTAAAAACTGATCATATACTTTTGTGGAAGCCTGAGCAACAGGCAGAGGTGTGGGCTTGGATTTAGTTGCTCTGTGCAACTTGTGCAAATTGTCTTGTCCTTCTCTGTCATGGATTTTTTTAGCTCACTTTGGATCATTGCAACCCACTGGTCTCTCACTTCTTATTTTACTGAGAAGCTGGTTTTTTGCACCTTTTTATCACGTGGTGGAAAGAAAGGACACCCACATCAAAGACTGAAATCTCCCAGTGCAATACACTTTGTAAACATGCACAATCTCCCTGATATTATATGACAGTACTGGTAAGAAATATGAGCTTTTCCATCCGTACACTGAGATAATTCTCCATTTTGTGGTTTATTACAGGGTAATAAGCTCACTACTGCTGGTTCTCTAAATAGAAAAAGTAAATGCACTACCTGTGTAATTTTTAACAATGCAGCTGCAGCTCTGGACATTCCAGTCTCTTGCACTGTGAGCAGTCTGTCCAGAATTATCACTGCAACACTTCTTTAAAAGTGCCATGGGATGTTCCTGTGCCCTAAGAGCAGGGAGGACCATTGCATCTAGGTGGTGTAGCCTCTCCTAGCCATTGCTGTGTATCCCTTCCCAAGTATGGCTCAGTCTCACAGCTCCCTGCTCCAGCCCTAAGACAGCAATCATTTAGGGAGTTACATTGCAAACCCAAGGATTTAAAACAATCATCTAACGAAACTGCCCAAGTGATCTATTAAAGCAATTAAACAAGGTAGCTTATAAAACCAGATGAAAGGCAGGAAAAAAGTATTTTAGTATTTGGCCAGCAGTTGACAGCCATCACGTGTCCCACTGGTCTCCCCTGCAGCCTTGCCAGCTCTTTCTGAGCACCAAGCTGCCATCTCTGGCCACTGCAGTGGCAGCTGTAAGTGGAGACAGGGACTGACTTGACACATGTGAGGGAGCCCTGGCAAGCTGGCTTTTTGAGCTGACCAGTCACTCAGTTCCTCACACAGCATGCTGCTGATGAGTGCCAGCTGTACTAATACTCCTCTGTGACAAGGGATGCACATTGGGAAATGTCAGTCTAACACGGAGAGTGACACAAGAGCCTGCTTTTGTAAGTACAGTGGATTTCTTCTCCAGAAAGTAAAAAAAGTCCCTTACAAGATTCCTGCAAGCAGAGCGGGTTTACTGTCAGACATCCCCATGACTGTTGTTTCCCAGTTCTTGAACCAAGGCAACAGAGGCAAAGGGATCTGCTTGCATGTGAGAAAAAGGCAGACCCACTTTTGTGTCTTATGTACCTGAATCACATCTCCTCCATGGTAGGGAAAAATATGCAGTGGTCCTGGGGGCTGTCCAGCTTCACTGAGCATCCTCTCTGTACCTGGTCTTCTGTCATGAGAGTTACACTTCAGACAACATAACTATTCCACTTGCCACAACCATTATATGATATAAAGAAGAACAAACGGTACATTTAAAAGGGAAAAATATTGTCCTTTCTAGGAAAAAAGGAATCAGTGAGATAAATCACAAAAAAATTCTCTTCCACAATTATGTGAAACCAACAGAAAATCCCACCCTTGACAGCTGACAGCTTAAGTGCAGGGAAAGAAACCCTGATAAGGTTCAGCATCTCTCGGCTATTTTCCTTCCACAAGCTTTACCTTTGGAAAGAGATGAAGGACAGGCATTGT